GAAGCTATTTAAGCCCCCTGACAGTCTAGTTATATAGAAACTAACCTATGCCATGGACATCAGAGGAGACTTTCTTCTGATAGCAAGAAGCAAGTTGCTTTCTTATTATTTTTATTACATTCTATTTTGCTTCCTTCTTCTTGATGCTAATCACAAATGCTGGAATAGTCTATGTAAGTGACTGTTGGGCTGGCAGAAGAAAGAAACTCTCTGGAAAGTATTTATACCTTCAGCAATGAAAACAAGATATTATTGTCTTACATGACCTTTCATAAGTATGGGGTACAGCATTTTACACAATCGTTTCTTGGTTCATGCTTCAATTACTGACCTTTACTGTGTAGAAAATTAATGCAATTTTCATTGTAGTCCATCCGTACAAATAAGGTCCACATGAAGGATCCCACATAGGAAATCTAATAAAATAGAAAATGCTAACTGATTGTTGTTGGCTGAACTCAGCCATTATCTGTTTGTTCCGGGGTCCCTAGAAAACTAGACTTGCAACAAGCAATTTCTTACATGGACCATCTGGAATAAGAAAGAAGAATTTTTCTTTCTTCATAGTTTAGTCTGTATGCTTCATTTCTTAAAAGCCCCAAATCTAGTTACCTGGAAGATGTATGTACCATCACAAAAGAAAAGAAGGCACAATTGTGGCATCCATTCTGGTTTCTAACACAGAAGACTACAGTGTGCTGTTAACAATGATAAGGAGACAGAGGCTACAGTGATGTCATTTTATGACCACCTTTATTCTAGACAATAAAAGTATGACAGACCCCAGACCATGCATGCCCTGGTCTACGAGTCAGAGAGAAGCAGAAGATGGGAGTACATTCATCCCCTGAAGAAGCATCCCCAAGGGGCCCAGGCCACCTTTCATCTGTCATCTGTGATGGTGTTTTCTAGGAAGAAGTACTAAAGATAAAGGCATGCCACTCTCAAGACATATTGGTGGAGTCGTGAGTTGCTTCCCTCCCTTCTGCTTTTTTTAAGGAATGGCTGTGTGTTTACAATTTGTAAACGACTCTTCTTGGATCGGTTGTGTTACAGATCCCAGAAGCATGTTCTGTCATGTCTAACATACAGCAGAAGCCATAGGGCTCTGCGAAGATGCCTTGAGGTGGGAGTGACTCAATCACTGCCTGGCCAAGTCTCAGACAAAACATATCATGGTGCTTGGGTCCTGTCCACAGAGAGGAAATGATGCACTGCGACACACGTGGGATATACCCTCAAAATGTTGGACTTGAAGCTTAACAATTGTAGTTTAGTAAATCCCAAAGAGAAGTGTGTTAGTGAGTTTTATATCAACTCAACACAAGCAATAGTCATTTGGGAAAAGGGAACTTCAACTGAGAAAATTCCCCAGTAGACTGGTCAGTGGATAAGTCTATAGGACATTTTCTTGATTGACAGACAGATACAGGAGAGTCTATCTCACTGAATGGGATTCCACCCCTGGGCTGGTAGTCCTAGGTGCTGCAAGAAAACAAGCTGAATAAGCCATGGGGGACAAGCTAGTATGCAACACTCCTCCATGACCTCTGCATCAATTCTCGCCTCTAGGATCCTGCTCTGTTGAGTTCATTCCTTAATTTTTCTCAGTGATAGACTGTGCTGTGAAAGAGTTAACTGAAATAAACCATCTCCTCCCCAAGTTGCTTTTGGTCATGATGTTTTATCGTAGCCATAGAAACCCTAAGACAAGAAGCAAGAGTGACATGATATGGGTGTAGACTAAAAATATGCCAGGCTCCCTAGCAACAGAAAGGTGCGTTTATCAGAAAGATCATAGATAACTTTTTTTTTTTTTTTTTTTTTTTTTTTAGTTTTTTCTTTAGGAGGTTATATAAAAATATAAAACTATGGAAACAAAATACCACAGTTAAGAACAAACTATGAAAAGAACATACTGGAATGCCTGAAATGTCTCAGAACTGAATATACCCTGAAGTGAGTTACAACAGCCCCACTGCCAACCCTTCCCACACAGGACAGGTTGATAGCACTCCTCTGTGTAGGTTCAAACTAGGTCCTGGCCCATCTCTGTGGATGCCACTTTTGGATACATTTTGTAGTCATCCCTGCCCAGAAAGATGTGAAGCATAGCACATATTGCTCCATCTCCAGCACCCCAGACATCTCTGGGAAAAGATCAAATTCTGGGCAAGCTCTAGATTGGACTATGTTGCTTGAAAGGCTATAGGACAATGCACACAAACCATTGCCATCATCAGTGTATCTATGGCTGCTTGCAGGAGACTCTTAAGACCGGGTCTGTTAACAGCTAATATTCACTTATAGAAGGAAGTACTGGAGAGGATAACCGAACCCTCACTCAGGGTTCTAGCCACTCCCCTATACACGCACTTCCCAGTCAGCTGTATGTGATTCTGCTCTAATTTCACACAGCCTTGTTGTCTCTGGAAATCCCAGAGTACATAGACTGTGGAAGGTTAGCCACAGGGGACATCACCCATGAAGGTCTGGGAAAGTTGTCATTTATGCTTGGGTGAGATTTTTTTTTTAGAGGTAAAGCTGCCTTGGGGTCTCCCGGGCCTCTGTAGGTAATCCTGCATCCTTGTACTATACTGAGCTCCATGAACTTGTTAGGGTCACAGGTTTGACCATGGCGAAAGTATGCCTTGGTTTTTCCATGGTATCCTACCATAGGTGAGAAGCCATTTTTCTATCTACCTGGTGGAAGAATTACCATTATGATTTTTCATTCCATGCTTTATGTGCTTTGATTACGGTTATTTGACACAGTATCTCACTCTGTATGGCAGGCTGGTCTCAGGCTCCCAGCAATCCTCCTGACTCAGCCTCACAAGCACTGGGAATACACTTATGAGCCATGATGAATGGATAAATAAATAAATAAATAAATAAATTATCCAGAGATAGATATTGCGGATCAAGCTCTTACCTCTACATCAGTTCAGGCCAAATGGTGATTCTCAAACTGCTCCCGACTTCAATGCTCCTCAGATTACCTCAAACTGCTAGGCTCTCCTCAGTGTGGCTAAAGACTCTAGGCTAGAGACTCTATACCACCCTAGTCTCAATGTCATGGGAAAATGAAACCCTATTCCTGTCTTAAACACCTCTCATGAGTCCTGGGATTAATGGTGCTTGATCCCAAGTTCTGACATCATCTTTGTGTGAGCTCAGTGTGGTCTTGAACCAGGGATCCATCTACCTCTACCTCCCAAGTGGTGAGATTAAAGGTTTGCACCACCACTGCCTGGCTCCTATAGCTTGTGGCTGACTTTGCTTTCTGAATCCTCAGGCAAGCTTTAATAAGTCACAAATAATATATCACTTGAGTTTAAGTGTGTGTGGTGTCCTCAAAAAACAGGGGGAGCTTCCTGCTATGAGAACCAGGCATCTGATGAGAGAGCTGAAATTTGCAGGTGTAACCTCCCCCCTTGCCCCTGCACCTCTGCCAAAAGCTCCTGACTTTCAAGATGAAGAGACAGACTCCTCTATCACCAGTGGTTACTAACTTACTTAATCCATCCTGTATTAATAGAGAAACCTCCATGCTCACGATAATAGAAACACAAAGCAGTGTCAGGACACTTCTGTGAAGATTAATGAAAGGAATTCTTGGGCCCGGGGTGAGTGTAGAAGCTCTGCTCTGCCCCAGGCTTGCCCTGTGCATCTCTTCTGTTTGATTATTCCCCAGTTGAATCATTTATAATAAACCAGTAAAGGGAGGTATTTTACCAAGTTTTTGTGAGCAATTCTAGAAACTTATTAACTCTCTGGAATTGGTTCTGAGAATGCCCAACTTACAGCTGGTAATCAGCAGTATAAATGGCCAGCATTACAAATGGCCTCAGATAAGTTTAAAATAACTACTTGTAATTTTCTTTGGCAAAACATCCCATTGTGTACTGAGATTGTTCTTTCCCTAATATTCAATGTTTGATCATTCAAAAACTACTCGAATAAGTTGATTAATAATTATTCAAAAAAGTTAACATTGCTATCCATTGCTATTGTCTAATCTGGAAAGAAATAGATCCGTTTTGTTTTGTTGAATATACCTTGCTTTATTCCATCATTTCTTTAATAATGATCACCTTCAGACAACACATAAGATTCACTCTGTAATATGTCATTTGCTTCAAATAGGCAAAACCATCTGGTCCCCTCAATTAACTGTAAGGCTCTGGTGTCAAGAACCAGTCTTTGAATTAATGTCTGCTAGGCAGGCATTTATAGTGCACATTTGCTCTCTGGGTTCCCCTTTCTGCCCTTTCCTCTCCCATAAGCCTCGTCCAAGCCACCACCATGTCCTCACACATGTCCAGGCTTTAAAGGACTGGAAGTCCATTAAGCTCAACGCCTCTCATTTGGACCTTCATTTTTTCCCCCATTTTGTTCCAGAAGGTTTGTCTGAAAGTGTAATGACAACAAAAGCAGCAGATTTGAGAGATTCTCCCAGGAGAAGGAAAAGGACAGCTGTACACAGACATATAGCAGAGAACGCTGCCAGCAACAGCTGGGAAAGTGACAGGCTCAGAAGTGGGTGACCACCCCATAGGCAGACGTGAACCTGAAGGAGCTAGCATTTCCCTTGATTTGCTCTTGGCTTATCAGGCTCCCTTTCATCTACAGGGAGAGACTTGCATCCCGATTCTTAGAAAAGGTCACTTATTTGCTCATATTTCATCCTTTCTATCTTATTTTTTTTAATCTTGGAAAAAAATAAATACCACACTATCCATCAAAACAATAAACACATATTATCATTGAAAAATTATCATCATGAGACATGACAGGTAATTGTTACTACTATAATGTACATTAGAGGAAAAGTAGGTATTGTAGCCATTCCATTTTCAATAAGCCAGGTTTTTTTTAATCCATACCATTTCTATAATATTACATGAAGCCAAAAATGTCAAAACAGGCACAACCTGGGGAAACAGCATGGGTGCCAGTAGTTCTTCCTAAGGACCTGTCATTAGTACACCACTCACCTTCTCTTCCTCCTCCTCTTCCTCGTCTATGTCTGTGCTCTCCTGAAAGGGAACCCCATAGCTTGTTAATGAGGTAGGCATCAACTGGGATTGCCCACTGCAAATGCAACACACATTTTTAAGTTTTCCTATGAAACTGAAACATTAGCAAGTTTTAAAACTCATTATATCCTTTTGTAAAAATCATACCTTTAAAGTTCAGAAACACTGTGTCAAGGTTATAAACAATATACATAGTCTACTTTGAACACTGGGTATAATTAAAGCTATTGTGCAAGTGTCCTTTGACAGTATCCAGTTTATCCTTTCCATAAACAGTTTTGTTCTTGTGCGGCAGATAAACCAAATGCTGTTAAGGCTCATTACTAAACTCATCATTACAAGACCACTCCTTTCTCTTTGCTGCCATCACTGAAACATTCTACAATAGAAAATGCACTGGTCCGAATAGAGTCATCATTAAGAATGCTACAGTTTCCCCCTTGGGGCTGCAGGAAGAGAGAAAGGAAGAAAACTGAAAGCTCTGATATTGACTAACAGGTGCATGGCTTTAGAACAGGTGCTGGAGTGCCCCTGTATTGCTACTAGGCTTGTTCAGAGCCATTTAGAAGTCCCATCTGTTTAATAGGAACATTTTACCTCATCATTCAGATACAATGGCACATGCCATACTCCCAGCACTCTGTAGACAGAGGCAGAGGGATGTCTTTGAGTTTGAGTTTGGGATCTGTATATCCAGTTTTCAAGGCAATACAGTGAGACCTAACCTCAAAAAGAGAAGAGAAAAATTACCATCAGTTGCTTCAATCAAATGGGTCCAGGAATAGGAGAAGAGCACTCGGTCTTAGAGAACCAGGAACCTTTTCAACTTGGAGACTTACCTTTTTGCTTACTCACATGAAGGTCAGACTTCCTATTTATTACCATTCCATCAGCTTAAAGCAATTTTCTGCACTATAACTGTTAAAAGAAGTGACTGTGGAGTGACCAGAGTGCTCTATTCTATTCCTCCATATCTCTGAAGTTACATATCAGTGTAACTTTTCTCAGGCTGGTGCCTCCTTACCTCTGTTAAGTCTCATGAGCTCCAGCTGTCAGTCTGTATGACACTCACTGACTGCATAGGGGATTAGCTTATTCACCATCGGCATCATTCACACCTCATAGAAGCCAATAGATACATAGGTATGCAGTAAAGAAAGTTGGGGGGGGGGTTAAACGCATTACATTTGGGAAAGTTAGATGTCATCACTTTCAGACATGACTTCGTGACTTTTGCAGATTGTCCCTGTGACTTTGGACCCATCACTCTGCTGTGCTACACTTTCATCTCACTGGGCATGATGAAATGAAAATGGAAGTTCTTGTCTCATACATCATGGTTGTCTTACCAAGACTAAATTAAGCAGTGAATTTGAACATGTTTTTTAAATCAAAAAGTTCTTAACAATGCAAATTTATATTTGTATCCATAAAAATATATTTATGCACATCTGTATTCACATCTGTATTCACAGCAAATATATGCACTTTTGCACATAGGATAAAGTTCTCATACACATGGTGGCAAAACAAAATCTGGCTGAACACTGCACCAATGTTAGTTGACAGCATTTACTATTACAGATGTTCCCTATTAGAGATGTTTCTCTAACTTATATTCATATAAAATCTAGTCCAAAAATACCATAAACTTTAAATCTACTTCTTGTTATTTGATTTCTCTATCTTACTGATACAAGTTTATGACTACTATTAAATAATAAAAAATACAACAGAACTGTAAAATTTCTTGAGGTTTTTGCCTTTGCCATGTGCTCCTTTTTCTACTTTTCTCTATCCTAAATGACACCAGAAATGTCCTTCAAAATCTATTCATTCAAGTATGATCTTTTAAAATGAGAACATAAAAACCATATGACAATGTTTGCATTTGAATCATGGAAAAAAAGTCTCATGCACAGACAACAGTGCTAGAAAGAAATTTGTCAGACCCTGAAATTTTAGAGTTTTGATTTTTAAAAACCTGTTTCTTAAATTAGAAATGTCAAGGTTTGTTCCTAAAGTGTGTTACCAAATGTAGATTCCTGTTCCCTTAGAGCAGAAAAATACTCTCTGGGCTGGCATGAATGATGAAGGTCAGGAGGGCCAAAGACTAAGCAGACACCAAGGGATTTCTTTCAGAAGTGACCATGTGCCTTTTCACATAAAGGGATTTTGAGGGCTAATGGTAGAAATCATAGCATTTGGGAGTAGAGGGTGGGGTTTATTCCCACCCACTTGCTGAGCACCCTGGAATTGGTAATCCCTGTTTAAACCTCAAGAGGACCGATGGCCTAAGCTAGCCTTCCAGTCAGTGCTATAGTACACTAGAAAAGCCCAAGGAACACGCAAAGATTTTTTTTCCTGTAGTTGTTAGAGGGTAATTCCTAGGAACTCCATCAGAAAATAGTCAGATACACAGATTTCTAGGAAGGAAACAACAGCCAAGATCCAGAGGGTTCCTTCTATATTGAGAACAACAGCTGAGGTGTGGGACTACGAACCACTATAAAAGGAAGATTCCCAAGTACATGTGATAAAACACCTGTTCTGGATACTGTTCTTATCTCCTTCTTCATGCCTCAAAGAGTGGAGTGGAACATGATTTAGTCATGGGAGTAACCCAGTGCTGCTATCCTAGTCCTCACCAGGAAGGTAGAGGAACTCCGGGAATCTTTGCTTACCTGGCTGTCCTGGGTGCTGCTGGCCTTCCCTCTTGTGGGCCTGAGAAAGTTGTACAGAAAGATAAGCAACAATGCCAGAGGGATCATGTAGAGTTCAAAATTCCAGACAGTGACCAAAAACACCTGCCAGGAAAACAAATGAGAGCCTATGACTCTTAGATAGAAACAGGGAAGGAATTTTACATTGGCGATTCATTGACATACTGAGATTAAATTTAGGGATTGTTTAAAAATCAAAGGATTGCAACCACCATAGAAATCAGTGCAGAAGTCCTTAACATACCTAGAAATAGATGAACTATATGATCAAGCTGTACCATTACGGACATATATGCAAAGGTCTGTATTTCCTATTATAAAGACGCATGCTCAACCATGTTCATGGCTGCTCTATTCACAACAGATGAGCCAGGAAAGTACTCTAGATGTCACCTAACTGGTGAATAGATAATGCAAATGTGCTGCTTATACACAAGGGAATTTTGTTCAGCTATAAAGATAAAGGCAGTTAAGAAATGTGCAGGTGAATGAATGTATGGAACCAGAAAATACACCAAGTGACAGAGCCGATCCCAGAAAGTCAAATGGTACATGTTCTCATATGAACCATACTGTCAAATTTTTAGATTTTTGTGTTTAACTTGGAGTACCAGGGAACTGAAAAAGGGCCACAAGTTGAGAGTGTTAGGAAGAATGACTATTAGCACACAAGTGATATTAAAGGAGGCATAACAGAGAGGGAAGTATAAGTAAGGAGACAGATGGGAAGGGAGAGTAAAGAATCAGGTTGAGGGAAAAGATAACTAACACTGAGGATAACAGAAAAATGATACTGTTTGATGCACTATAGAAGATCAATACATACATACATACCTATGTCATACATACAAACATACATACATACAAAGAAATAAAAGTGGAGTTTCCTTATATAAGGGATAGTGTTCCTCCAAGAAACTATAGTTTGCCAAAAAAGTATAGAGCCCTGTGCCAGTTGTAGATACTTCTCCCTAGCTGTTGGCCAGGTATGTCATAGACAATCAAAGTAATACAGTGTGTTGTCGCTGCTCTTGGTTGCTAATCAGAACTTCATGGTAAGACCCTATTGCTCAAGACATCACTTTATGAACAGGACATGGAGAAATAAAGTTGGTATTGAGCAGGAAATGTCATCCCTGATGGCTGGAGTACTCTAATGTGCTATCAGGCTGCTTGGGGAAAAACAAGCATCAACACTTATACCAAGCTGTTAACGCTATAAGCTACAAAATTAACTGGGCTGACAAAATATTCTTATCATACAGTAGTGGCACAATTATTGTAGGGACAACCAAATATATTCTGATTTAAAGAACCTCTCCACAGGAAGAAACATTTGTTTGGAAATATAAATCTAGACAAGAACATATTGTTGGAGAGATCATAGGCTCTAGGGATAAGCCTACTACTATTATTCTGGTAAATGGACAATTCCTAAACTGTCCCTTCTAAATTCATACTTCAGCCACAAATTAGTACAGTTCTCAGACCTCATCAAAGACAGTTCTTTGTTCGGGTGACATTGGTTAATATTGAAACTAACAACTTGTCAAGAGAATAAGGGCTGATGGAGTATTAAGCCACAAATGGATCGTCTATATCACAACCCCTTCTTCCAAAGCTCAGGGGCCATTGCAGAAGACAAAGTGAAAAGACTGTAAGAGCCAGAGATCAGAAGAGACTAGAGTGTAGCAGTGTTTTCTGAGCATGACAGGATTTGCTATGCTGATGACCTCACAAAGGCCCTAGCTAAAGCTAATTGATGGCTTCTGGGGAAAGGAGACTCAGTATCTTTACAGGTATGGCCTCTGGCCCCTGGTAGGTTGACTACACTCCAGTGCATGGACCCACACTTCTGAGAGGCATAAAGCAACACACACTGAACTTGGTTTTGTTGTTGTTGTTGTTTATTTGTTTGTTTTTTAAGTACACAAAATTGGGAGGGAGGAGTAGCTCTGGGAGGAGTTAGGGTGAGGATCAAAATAAATGTATGAAATTCTCAAAGAACTAAAAATGTAACTTCAAAAGGGATTCAATTGAGAAACAGCTCCCAAAAGGTATAGAAGTGTGTGCATGCGCGTACACAATGATCTCTGTCTTAGAGACTGGAACAGAATGAAAAGAATATAGTTAGAATTGGCAGGTCATGATCTGCAACAGTGAGATTATTGTAATATTTCGAAACACTGTTTTTCTGTCACCCCTATTTAATATTGTTGCTTCTGGAGTTTTATGTGTCAGAAATTAGAGAGCAGGCTAGAAGAAGCTGATGTCACAATGAGCCAAAACACAGGCCAAATACTATCTTCAGGAAAAATGATTTGAACTAGGGAGAATGGTTGCCAATGTTTCAAACTACAGGTATGTTACATACATGTATATTTCTAAAATCTCTTTAAGAACCCAAAAGTGAGAAAATTGTGAAAATTAAGAGCTCTTAGGAAATAGTTATTACCTGGATCAATGTAAGCCTCAGAGACATGTGTCCTTTGCTTAGATAAACAAGTACGAGCTTAAGGCCCTATGCTACAGTGGTGGGTAAGACACACAGGCAAGTGACACAGAACATGAGAACACAGGATTTTCCTCTTGGGGAAATTAATTAAAAAAAAAAAAAAAAAAAAACGAGCCATACATTCACACATATTCTAGGAGATGAGCCACTTGATTTGTAAGTATCAGCTTCCGGTGTGTAAAATATAACATCTTCCTGGCCAAAACAATATTATTTTACTGCTGAAGATACTTTTTACCAAAAATTGAAAACTTTACTACTATTCTATATCACTTTTTTTATTTTTGGGTAATCTGTATCCTAAATATTTATTTTTAAAAATCTGGCTATAATTTCATGCAAAACCTCTAAAATTTTAAATATATTCATTTTTACAATTGGCAGGCTTGCTGAGTTTTTTCTTGTTGGTAAAAATAGTATTTTATTTAATTTTTCTGAGGCTTCAAAAATATAATCATAAGATTTATGTCTAAGAAATTTATTCCATTCCTTCCTTCATTGTGATTGTAACTTGGTTTTTCATGTTTAATTTCATTGCTCCTACATAAAAATATTAGGAGAGATATTATTGCCAAATTCCAAACATCAATGAAAAATGCCTGGTTTTTCATTTCACTACCATTAAGCATGATGCTTGCTTTTAGTTTCCACTGTATAAATCATATCATATTAAGAGAATACACAAATCTATTTAGTTTTAATATGAGAAAATTCATAGAGGTATCCACTTTATTACTGTAGATATCCCTCAAATGTCTTAAAAGCACTTCTTTGCATCTGCTTCAAATTAAACAATAAGATTTCCATCCATTCTAATAAGGGTTTATTTCAGGAGTGATATTTATTAAATCAGTAATAGATGGTGGGATACTGATTGTTTTTAGTTTACTTGTTTTTCATTTCTTTGTCATCTTCTGGAGAAGAATTTTATCCCTCTTTTTTAAATACATTTAATAGATATATTTAATATAAACAGATGATTGAAATAATCTTCTATATCTTGGAGAAACTCCTTCACTGGGGCCTACTATTGCACTGAATTCATGAAGACCAAAGGCCAGCTTTACATTGATTCTAATGACATAATGTTTGAGTTTTGTGTTATTTTCAAATTTTGGAATTAGGGTACTGTGACATCACATAAGCATACTTCACAATTTATGATACATTTAAAAGTTTATAAAACTTAATATTTTAAGAAGACAAACAATACACATAGCCCTTCAAGCATTAAGATTTCTTCTTTCATTTTACTGTGTCTTATTACTTTTCTTTTTCAAATAAAAGATACTTCAGGTAGCTGTTCCCTCTGTTAACACCTGTCTGCTATATTTTTCTCATCTCCAAAGCAATATTCTCTTAAATATGGCAAGTACTCAATAGGACCTACAAAGATATTGTTGACATGTGTAAAGATGCATATCTAGATATATGCTTAAAAACCTGTGCAATATGAAAGTATTTTATTCAATAGAAAGTCCTTACTCATCTATGCCTAAACCAAATACATTCATTTTACCTGGTATCCTTTCCCATTCAAATGACTACTCTTAATGTATGTATTTCAGGATTTTATCTGTGCGAACTTTGATTGAACCTATGGCTTATTCTTTCCTTATATGGTGTAACATAACCTCAGTTTTTGTAACTACAACATTCAATATTCTACTACAGGAATCTTATTTCACCCTGAAATGATAAATCTATTTTCTTTTAAGTGATATTTGCATGTATATGATCTTTATTCTTTCTCAATTTTTTATTGGTAGAAATAAGCACCAAATTTAATTTTTTCTCCATAGACACTTTTAGGAACTAAATTTATATACCAACCTACACCTTTCTTTGGGATCTACATTTTTACTTCCATCAGCCACTTCAGCAGGAAACAGTTGTAAGAAAATTATTTCTCAAAACAGTATCTGAAAACATGTGACTATAAATATGTGTCTTCACATCTCTGTGGGGCATGACTTCATACAGATCAAAGGAAGGTTCTTCCATATTCATTTATCTCATTTTCAATTCCAGGGTTTTATTTGGAGAGTTGATACATATTAAAAAAAAAACATAAACTCTAATAATGACTTTTTTCCCCTTTTAGAACTGAGTGTGATGTGGGTCCTTTGAGTATTTGCTCATCTTTGACCCGAGAACTACTTCAATCACAGTGGTGGCACCTGTAATTATACTTCAAAAGTGGCACAGACAAAGTTAAATGCAAAGCAACATTTTAAAATACTTATGCTTCTTCAAAGCAAGGCATACAACATTATCTATCATGGAGTTTACAATGTATTTAAATAGAAACATGAAAGTTTCTATTTAAATATATAGCAGGGTAGACAGATCAGCTGAGGCAAGGAGCAATATTTATATGGATCGAATCGGTATGTAATACTGATCATAAGATGATTCCCACAAGTTAAGGGAAGACAACATGCACACAAATAAAAATTGATTTCTAGTATGTATAACAAGCATTCTCTCTCTCACACACACACACTCTCTCTCTTTCCTTCTCTCCATGTGTCTCTCCCTCCTTTCCTCTATACCTTACTGTGTATCC